CAACTATTTAACATTACCATTATGAGTCAGGAGTAGCAAGGTTAGATGAACAGATAGTCAAACACATTATTCTGTTAATGTCATCCCTAGAATTCAATAATTAAAAATCTGAACTAGATGATAATCTGAAGTTACCATATAGTCTCTTTTTTAGGGAAAAGCAAGTAATTGAAAACTATACTGTTCCCCCCCCCTCCCGCTCCCCACATTAGATGTCTTCAGTTCCGGATATAAGATTGGACAATGCTCTTAACAATTGTGATGATAAATGCAATTTCATTAAGTCAGTGACATTTTATAAATAGACGAAATAAGAGGAAAGAATTTGAGCTTTCCTTCCTTTTGGCACAAAATTTCTTGATTGCTATATTGTTTGTATATTATAAGTAGCCTGTTAGGTTAGTATGTCTAGAATTTGACTAATGTATACAGTATAATGTCTAAAGGAGAACATTGCCTTCATTTATGTTGAATGGACATGGGCTTTACAGGATAACACAGCAAAGGCTCCCACCTCCTTTGCTGCAGTTGATATAAGTACTTTCCAGCCTGAATAATGTCTAAGTAACTTGTACAGCCTGTGTGGCCTACAAAACATCTGGATAATCAGATGTTTAGATAAACAGGAGTGTTAATTGCATATCCATGTTTTAGCTGTGGACTACCTAGGACAACTGCCAGCTGTGTTTTTCAATATGCATTTGATTTATATTTTATTTTCTTAAGTGTAGGATTTTCTACAATATTTTAAAAAGGGAAACAAAATTATTGATAGACGATACTGCTCAGGAGCATTATTGAGTTATCTTTACAGCAAGCCAGTGTTATTATTGCTTATATTGCAGATGGTGTAGAAGAAAGGGCTCTGGGGGTAGAGGGTAAAGATTTATTACATTTGTTTATTCCTTCCCTTTTACAGTGAACAGGATGGCATGTCTACAGGATACAAGCATGGGGAAAAACAGTTGATTGAAACCTACAGATCCAGAGGATGCCAGCCATAGCTATATAATACAGTTCTGTTCTGGAAATGTGAAAGTGAATGCAGCAGACATATTATCCTTGCAATCACTTACCCACAAACTGTTCTTGTAGATCATGTTGAATGATTGCTAACTACCCTGTGTTCAATAACCCCACAAATGCAGAAATTCTACTATGTATTTGTTACATTTTCCTTGTTTCTGTGTCTTCCGTTCCTTTCCCAATACAAATAAATGGTATTGCTTGTTTTACATGAGCAGAAACTAACACTTTATAGAACACCAATAAATATACAATCTCTTCTCTTAGTTTTATAGGAAACGTTAAACCTCACTGTTTGTCATTGCCATGGTGAATCTCTCATTAATCTCTGACCTTTCTGTTTCAGTTTCAAAAAGAAAGGATATCATTTATATGTAGTTTTGAAAATGCACAAAGCACTTTACAATAAATCTATCAAGAAGCTTCTTGGTTTCAGATACTGAAAGTGAATGGTTCCTCTTATCCCCTCTTCATCATTTGTGCCCTGAAAAAACAGGGGGCAACAAAGGGGAAGGGAGGCTGGTACTCTCAGGCCAAGGATGAAAGGAAAACTAGAGAGAAGGGGGAAATTTTTCTTCAAGAGATGTGTTGAGCACTATAAACAGTAGCACTTTTGTGGATTTTGCACGATGTAATGTTGATGATTGTAACTAAGGCACTTAAGGGGACAACAGTACCATTCCTGATAAATCTTTGTTCAAGCGTCTCTTCAAATATACTTTTCTTAATTCACATTTTGCATTTGTATCTAACAGAGCCATGCCATAAGTACATTTTTGTTGTCATTTTGATGTCTGTCTGTCTGTCTGTCTATGTCTATCTATCATCATCTATTTTTAGAAAAGGCCATGCTTTATTGTTTCAATAGTCTGTCATAAATAGAAAAATTATAACAAAACATGTTCATACAGTAAGACATTCAGAAAATAAACATTCAATTTACAGTATATCCATAATTGTATGAGCTTAGTCTTCTTGCTTTTGTATCTGATCAAACTAATTTGCTAATCTAGATTCAAGGCACAGAACAAACAAACAAATATAAACACAGAACTGTAGTAGGAAAAGAAAAGAAGATCTCTGCTATTACCCATTTCCTTTCCAAAACTCCTTGTGTCATTAGGTCACAGTGCCTGTGTGTGATAAAAAATAAATAATCTAGAATTAACTTCAAGGAATTGCTACTAATAGATGCAACAACATATAAAATTACTAGGCAATAATTGCCATTGAGGCTTGAAGTAATAGACAGGGTTACATTAGTTGGTAGTAGCATGCTGTTTTTTGGAAGATGGCTAGAGTGATAGCTCAGTCTTATTTCTACTTAATATTGTTTTTTTACACTGAAGGACAGTAACCTAAAATAGCTTGGTCCTCAAAACCAATAGTTCTCAACTAGACATACAAAAACTAGATGAATCCAGAAGCCTAAGTGAATCATAAGTTGCTGAAACTTTAAGTCTTTAAAATATACCATGAATTATAATTATAACGAGTACAAAATGCAAGTACATTTATAAATGAGACCGTTTTTAGGGGTCTTGGTTATATTGTAATATTGTTTTATGATAGTTGTGTTTTATGCTTTTTGTGTTGTGATCTTCCTGGAGTTAGTTACATAGTGGAGATGGATAGTTATGTAAATGGATAAATTTCACCTTTACCCCTTACCCCAATTCTCAGGCCTGATCCCACAGAAAACCATCATCTCACTATCTAATCATACAGCAGATCAGTCCTGGATAACAGCAATGTTAGGCTGATATTTTCAGGCCTGATTCAAACCCTTACATTAAGAGACTTTCCGCTGCACTGAACAGAGTTAGCCAAACTATACATTCATATATATGTTTTCTCAGGTTTTCGCGGGTGTTTGTATGTAGGTCTTTGGTTATTCGGGTCTTCTCCCACGTAAAATTGGAAGTGTCTTGGCAACGTTTCGACGAAGTCTCATTCGTCATCTTCAGGCTGGTGTTCTCGGCTTCGTGCTTCCAGGAGCAATGTGAGATCGCAGCTGTCTCTTCCTTTTAACTGCTAGTGGGGGTGTGAGCTGATTGGGTGGGAACTTGGCTGTGTTCTGATTGGGTGGAGGTGTGTTCTGATTGGTTAGGGGCTTGGCTGTGCTTTGATTGGATGGGGGGTTGGTTGTGCTCTGATTGGCTGGGGGTGTGTTCTGTTTGGGTGGGGGCTTGGTTGTGCTCAGCTTAGTCTGAGTTGCAGGGGGATTTGAGCTGGTGAGCTGCGTTGTTGTTGTTTGGCTTCGTGTTTGTGGCCGTGCGAGCTCTTCATGGTGGGTGTCAGTCTGCTTCATGTATGGATTGGAGGGGTTTAAAGTGGCTAATGATGCAGCTGCGGTCTGGCTTCTGGTCCTTGGTCGTGGCTCATTATCAGTGTGGGTTTGAGTCTGCTTTCTGTGTGGATGTGTGGTGGTGACATCCTGTGTGGCTCTCGTGAGTGTGGGTCTGGTGTCATTCGTCGTGTTAGGGACTCGTTTGTCAATAAGGGTGGGTTTCCAAATGGCTGATAGGCGGGAGGTATCGTCTCGTTTGTTCATGCTGTGTGGGCGTTTTTCTATCTCGATGGCTTCTCTGATTATTCTGTTGTTAAAGTGTTCAGTTTTGGCGATAGTTCTGGTCTTTTTAAAGTCAATATCATGTCCTGTGGCTTTAAGGTGTTGGACCAGGGAAGAAGTTGGTTCCTCTTTTCTGACTGAGTTCTTGTGTTCTTCTATGCGTGCACTTATTCGTCTGTTGGTTTGTCCGATGTATGTGGTGGGGCAGGCGATGCATGGGATTTCATATACTCCTTGATTTTCTAACTCAATTTTGTCTTTGGGGTTCCTTAGGATGGTGGATGCACAAACCGAAAAATATCCACCATCCTAAGGATATGTATATATATTGCTGATAAAGAAGGTTAATTCAACTGCCTAACATGCAGGAAGCCAAAGTTCGAATCCGAGTAAGGATATGGCTAGCTGATGAGAGCTAAATAGCTTGAAATAGATCTATACTAGTCTCCCTTTATTTCTTTATCAATGAAATATAAATTTGGTATAAAATGGTTTGTCGTGAATGCGACTGCTTGAGGGTTCCTGGATTGGAGTTGAAAGGCAAAAGGGATGCAGTATACTCCCTCCCACATTACATGTTGGGGTAGACCAAGTGTCTCGATAGAAAAACACTTAATCTCTCCCCTGGCTCAAGCTGATGAAGGGCTGAGAACTTGTGGCTCACAGGTTAATACAACTGCCTAACATGCAGGCAGCCCGAGTTCGAATCCAAGTAAGGGTATGGCTAGCTGATGAGAGCTAAACAGCTTGAAATAGATCTATACTAGTCTCCCTTTATTTCTTTAACAGAGAAATATAAATTTGATATATATATAGAGAGAAAGAATCAAATATTAATTCTTTGTTATATAAGGTGCTTATATATCCAGCTTGCAATCTGCAAATATAAGTGCAATTCTGGTTATCCACAGAAGTCCCTCCCTTCCCCCTGTGGATTGTTTGAAATATTATGAAATCCCAAAGTCTTCCGTTTTCCTGTTTTTAGACAAAACAAGTATGTTTCTGATTTTAGATTAGAGGTCAAGTATTAACTCAAACTAAGAATCCCAGAAAAATAGTTGGAGTGAAGAAAGAATAGGAAATGGAAGCCATGTACAAAAAGAGAAACACTGGGTGTAAGTCTGTGACTTGCTCATAACTACAACTCAACAAGTAACTCAGTGACCTAACTCTGAGCTTTGGTTTAAGTTATCCTATAATTCCTGTAAATTCTCTCTTAAATCTTTTTACATCTGGGGTCAATTCAAAATGTCCACCAAGTGTATTCCCAACTTTGTGTGCAACTCGGCTTGCTGAATGCTAATATATTGGCTGCTATCATGAGCCTTTGTGTTGTGCACTGTGGCATTAAGTTTATCAATCTGAAATATAGATCTTATCTTTTAACTTATAGTGGGAATTCCTAACATAAATGTCATACCTGGGTGATTATATACCACTGCTAGAATGTTATGAACTTTATCCAATGAAGAGACAGAACAAGGTCAGACCTCATTTACCTCTGATTTCTTAATTGTAACTGTAACTGTGATTGCTGAACTTGACTAATATATTCCTTTAAATGAGCAGGATTCACATTTAATTAGGAATAATCACATCTCTTGCTTTTCTGGTCACTAACCTTTCTGTTAATTGTGTGCAAGGTTCCGGTTCTTTCAGAAATACGACTTTTTGTCATTGTTTTGTGGCGTTCCAAACTTTCCAGACTTTCCAACACTATGCATTGACCAAAGCCACAAGAGAAGTCAATATAGTCCAGAATTCCTGCACCTTATATCTGTGCTTTGGGTATGGTGTCCTCCAACAATATTTACAGATAGAATCCTTGGATTTATAATAATAATAAAAAATTAAAGTCTTCCCAAATATTATTTCTCAGATATATTACATGCCATTAGATGTGTCAAGTAAAGTTCAAGAAAGATTTGAAGAAACCCTGCCAAAATTCATGCCTGAACATATTTATTAACAAAATATGCTCACACAACAAGTCTGTCTGAGAGATTAGTTTTCTAGACACTACATGATCTCTTGTAGAAACTCTCCAGTTGCTGATGGATTGGATTTTTGAAAACTTATGACACAGAGATAAAAGAGTGGAAATTGAGTGACAAAAGCTAGAAAATCACTTGATTAAATTCAAGCAAGTAAGATCACAGGAAAATGTGAAAGTAAACAAACAAGGCATGGATCTTTTAATACAGCTCCAGGATGTCACATTAATGCCCAAAGCATAATTCTGAGATAATGTGCAGGAGCCTCGTCAGCTCCTACATTGAGTTTTATTTTTTAAAAAATTGACACATGTTGAAACAAGTAAAAGGTAGGCTTGTCAGTTGGCTAGGAGAAAGAATGGATTGAGAAGGTTTTCTTTTGATAATAGTTTGAGATCCCAATGCACCCAGATGACCTCTTCATAGCCTGAAGCTAACATCTAGAGGTCAGCTTGCTACTCAAGAAACAATAGCTGGTGCTATCTCTTATTGGTAACACTAATAAATGGTATTTATTCTCCTGGAACAACTTGGATAGAAACTATTTTGCTTTTCAATAAATTACATTCTACAATCGTCTTTTAAAGCAATAAATAAAAGACTGATCCTTGCCAGGTAGTTCCTGAAGTACCCTTCAGTGATGGTCAACTTGATGTCTTCTGGAGTGCTTAACCTACTGCTCCTATAGTTCCCTGCCATTGTCTTTGTTGACTGAAGCCTATGGAATTTGAACTGCAAACATTCTCTACCCTTTTTAAATTCGGATGGAGTCCTGGCCCACTCATTCTTTCACCCTTTTCCCAAAGCAGCCTAACAACAAACCTGGCTATTGATTTTTTCCTTCCAACTAAAATAAATTCATACATAGTTAGAAATATTTTAAAAATCTATGGTGTATACAGTCTGCAATAGAATCACATTCTTCTTTTGTTAATTGACTACATAAAATGTATCATTGTAATCCCTCCCCTTATTGTAAAATCAGAGCAGAAATGGGTGTGTGTGTGTGTGCCCCACTTAAGAGCACTCAGGGTAATGAAATGATGCCGCCAGCCTATTTTCTTAAGAAAAGCAATTTAAAATGACATGATGTTAATGTAAGTCAATCCAGAAAGAAAAACAGCATGTTCACCTGCAAACAATCCCTTGAGACTGGTCAACACTGTCTCACAAATTGCTCAGTGTTTAACTTGAAGTCCATTTGTTAATTTTGTAAACATTGCTGTTTCCATTACACATTGACATGATATTGACAATATGACTCTAATCCTGCCAGGAAGGAAGTATTGGATTTCAGTCAGCTACAGGATGCTCCCCAACTCAACTTTTACCTGAAAGGTCAAGGCGAAATGTTACTGACTTTAACAGCCACAGAATGGGCTCCAGGCTCGAGGTGAGTTGACATTTGCCAAAAGTTATGCAGAACCACTTCAATCCTTGGGTGTTCTTGAATCTACTTTATCTTACAGATCAACTTGTCTTTCGTTCCTTTGGACAAGACAATCCTATGATGTCAATTTGGGCAGAAATAATTTCCATTCTATTTAGTGGTGCTTTTAGATCATATCCTGCTCCTTGCCATGATTTTGTGCTAGTTTCTTCTTCTCTTTGTAAGAAAGGATATAATTCAAGGAAAAAGATCTTGAATGCAGTCTTTGGCGTCTTGGACAGCTCTGAAAGCTGAAGCTTGGTGGACCATTGATTTCAACTGGCATAAGGTTCTCTCACATTTCTGTTTTAATTTGCAGGATACAAATGCCTATAAGATGGCATAATTGACATCCTGATGTCAATTCAGTTCTTTTATATACTGAATTTTATAGTCCTAATATATGGTTTGCTTTGGGATTTTAGGCAAGGGAAAAATATAATTCTTTAAAGAGGATGTATTCTGTATTGCCATTCTCTCAAGATGTTTAGTATAGGTGATATACTGTACCTAGTCACTTTTGTTACTTTTTAAATTGATTATTATCTGTAAAACTATTACAGACTTAGCTGTGAAAGCCATAGAAAATGACACTAACACCATCAAATAAAAGATCTAGACCATTGGCCTAGATTTAACTAGCAATACAAACAGGGAATCAGCCTAGACAACTAGCACTGCGCATGTTTGCAAGGGCAAATAAAACTACCTTTGAATGCTAACCACCATGGATGGATAATGTGAACTTAAAACTATTTGTTTGTTTGTTTAATGTAATTTATAAGCAGCTACTATCTCAAAAAACTTGAAGCAATGTACAAAAGCAACAGCAACACAAACCAATGCAGAACAATTAATATAATACAATCAACACAAACCTCTAATATTATATCAATTACATCAATTACATCTACAACACTCTGGTTCTTTTTAAACATGCTGGAAGACTGAAATGGTGAGAACCACCCTTGTCAGGGGATAGAAGAGAGAAGTTGTTCCAGAGAAGGAAGTCCCCACACAGAATGCCCTCTTCCTCTTCCTCTTCCTCTCAACAGAGAAAGAACTTCTCCAGGCCTTTTTGTTCCTTGATTGGGCAGACAGAATCTATAAAAGAATCTATGCAGCCTTATGGTTCTGGCTCTGTGCAATAGATCTTCATCATTGGCTTCAGTGAAGAAATAGTTCTGTGCAAATCTGGAGGCATACACACTCATGCCTAAAGAATAGCATTTGCATTCTCAGTATGCCAAAGCAGCCTTTATATAGAGCTGCTCAAAACGTTTACAGGGCCAGTAGCCTTCCATGCCTCTAAAAGAAAAAAAGTTGAATGTGTGCATTTTGTTTTATTTTCTGTGTTGTGCTGGAGATCTGTTCCCTTACTGCTCACTCCAAAACATTGCTGCATTTACTATTGTCAGCAATGCTGGTCAAATATTTATTTTAAAGATCAGAATAAAAGGTGTCATTCCCATTATGACAGTCTTGTAATCCATGTACTGTAAATTATTTACATCAGTTATTCTGATGCTGTTCTCTTGGGTTACATTACTCTCCGTGCTTCCAGATCTTAAATAAACTTAGATATTTTTCATAGAAAAATGTAAGACTGGCATCAGGGAAGTATACCAGCAAGCATCTGTTGAAGCCTAAATTAATCTCCTGGCTCTTCTGCCTTACTGTCAATATCTTTTCTCCTGCCCACAGCAAGGACTTAGGTGTTGGAGGAGCACTCTCTAATTACCTTGCAGTCTCCTGCTAGGTAATTGGGTGGATTATGAACAGAAAGCAATTGAATGACAATAGCAAGGAGGAAGTAAAATTAATCTAGGAGAGGCTCCACCAAACCCCTCCCCCAAGTCGCAGCTGGCATCAGAGAAAACATGTTCTTTCAAAGCAAGAGATGCACTTTCCATCATCAAACAAACCAGGCAGAGGAACAGGAGCCCAATTGCTCAGACTTCCGCTTCTTGGCAACCATCAAAGTGAATTACAATAGTTTGCCACCAAAGCCTGACGTGTATCCCCATTGGTTTTTGAATGTTTCCACTTCAAATGAGCTTCTCTTTTCTTACACAGGAATTAAAAGACTTCCCTGTTTGTGGAATGCAAATCGCTAGAGCAAATCTATCATCTGGACTCATTATATTCTGTCACTTTCACCTTGACCCTTTAGGATGCTGTGAATCAGCCCACTCCCCACTCTGCGACCCTCCCCAGGATATCAGATGACTTATGTCATCTGGGCTCATCAGCTCACCTCACTCGTTTCACTGCTTAGGTGGCTTTGATGTGAGTGGCTTAGCCTCATACCAGACAACCCTCAACAAAAGCACACATACAGGTGTCTCCCTGGAAAGGAAGGAGGGATATAATAGCTGGTCTTTCAGACCATGGTCATTTTATTTATTTTGTTCAAAGCCATTCACAACTGTAATCACTATCTTTGTGGACTTTCCTTTCTTGTTTTTCTAAAGCCCTTTTACAATAACCTGCCAGGTGCTTTTGTTCCTTTCGATAGACATATGCTCTGCTTGACTGAAGCTGTCCGTGTGAATCATCTGACATATAATTTTCTTCCAATTATGAATTTGTTTCACTCTTTGAAGATGCTTAAAAAGATGACCTGCTAACACTGATTTTTAAAAACTTCCATTACAGCATTTTGTGGTTAGCATTAGTATCTAAAGTAACAGAATCTTCTGACCCTTTAAAGATGAATATATTAATTGTGCATTTTTTTCAGATACAAAAAAACTTAATGGCCATGGCACAGCTTCGTGTTATGTTCCAGTTATCCCCATTGCTAGATCGAGAAGCTCTGCTTACTTTCACTCATGCCCAGGGATGAAATGCTACCAGTTCGCACCGTTTGGGCGAACCGGTAGCAGCAGGGGCGAGTGGTTCAGCGAACTGGTAGCAGCAGCAGCACAAGGTTCCGCCCACCCACTCGGATGTTGTTACTTCCTGGTTTTAACCAGTAAGTAACCTGTTTTTGACCCTCTGCACATGAGCAGAAAGCTTTGCGCATGCTCAGAGGGTCTAAAATCGCACATGATGCATGCACGTGCACTTTCTATAGGGAAGGTAAATAGATTTCACCCCTGCTCGTGCCCTATACTCCCGTTTGGTTTTCTTTAATGCATTCTACATGGGATTGCCGTTCAAGAGTGTCTGGAAGCTTTAGCTGGTACAAAATGCAACAGCATGGGCAGTTATGTGTGCCCCTAGAGTGGTACATGTTACACCACTGCTCCATGAACTGCATCAGTTGCAGGTTTGCTTCCAAGTTCAATTCACAGTGCGGTTTTTGACCTTTAAAGCCCTTTGGGGATAGTTCTTCCTGATTACATGTGCCCGTCCCATTAGGTCTGGTAGAGAAAGCATCCTATATGTCCTATGTGCTGGGTAATTACATTTGACAGGATGTAGGAGGTGGGTTTCTGGTATATTATACTGTACTTCTGGTATTCAACAGCAAACCACCAGATTATTGAGTTGTAATTTTCTGCCTAAGAAAGATGAAGTTTCAATAGAAGAGAGTATCTGTAGCTCAGGGTTGAACTGTAGGGTCTTTTGTGCTCTCTGAGCTTAGTGGCCTGCTTACAGATGTCTCATTATCCAACTAAGTAGCATCATCACACTGATGATGAAATAATGATGTCTTGGATAAGCTTGAAGTATCTATTTCATTTTCATTTTTAAAAAGTGCTCAACTAGAAGTCTCCCTAAAATAAAAAAAAAAGATTAAAATTCTGATCCAGAAGAATAGCATTATCTTTTCCCCCCTTTGTCCTACTTTTCTTTGGATGAAAAATGTTTACTAGGTGTCTAGATTTAATTATTCTTAAAGCAGATTCAATAAAATGAATTAATTTTTCACTGGAAATATTTAGAGCAAATCAACTGAAATCCATATGAATTAACTTAATGTCTTATCTAATTTAAATCACATTGATTTCAATGGATTTGCTCTAAATATGAAAATATTGGATACGGTTTAGGTAAATAACACCTTCCAGGTATCCAAACCTTAAATGCACAGGTCACAATATCTGTCAAACTGGTGGAGGCATTTGTCATATAGAATCTTAATTACCATTGATTTTATAAACATTTTAAATTGCCTTTTTCAAAGTAAGTATTAACACTTAATAAGGTTGGAATGAAATACATGGCCAATTAACTTCCTTGTTTTTATAAGTACAACTCTCTCTGGGGATTGTGCAGCAATAAAAAAATAATACCTCATACTCCTAAAAATAAAAAAAAATAAAGTAGCAAAACTACTTATATTTTTGCAGGCCACAGTTTATTATTTGAAAATAGTTCTCATGACATCAGTAGGACTTGCTCAAACCTTATAAGCTCAATGTGATATTTTTTCAACATTGGTGAAGTGCACTTTTCAATGGCAGGTTACCTCTATGTTCGATTTATTCAATTAAGTGCTTTTAACATATATTTGGATTCATAATGCTAAATGCCTAGAAAGATATGAGATCATAGCAGAAATATAGCATTTCATCAATTTTTCTATAGCATTCTATTCCCTATGCATATAAAAAACACAGCTCAGAAAAATAACTCTTATTATATATCATAAACTCTTCACAAATATCCCAAACATTGACATCATTCCTCAGAGAGTTCTCCCTGACAAACAATTTTAGGAAGGACAAAGCTGTGGAATTTCCTTCTGCTAGCTCCAACCTATATCATAATGCCAAGCTCTTGTTATGGTAAAGGAAATGTCTAGGCCTGCTCTCTGGATGGAACTTGATGTGTTGTCAAAAATAAGATTGCTACAAAAATGGTGACTCCACCTTGAGCTCCTTCTCCTCTGTCTATGATCTGTTGCTATGAAAATATATGAGACTTCTCCACTTTTCTCCACCCTGTCTCATTATCCCTTGCCTAAGCAATAACAAGGAAAGGGAACTTGATCCATGGGTCAGAAATGTTCTGCATTCATCATTATGCCTGGCTTTGTCTTCTATTGGGAAGTAATTTGAAAGAACAGTTTTGATTTAAGATAAACCGGAATGTTCTATATTACTAAAGTGTCCATTCTGTGGCTCACATTATGGCGTGTCCCTTCTTCCCCACCTTACAAATACCAAGGCAAGGCTGTCTCCTTTGCCTCAATTTTAAATCTTTTTTGCTTTGCCTTTGAGATTCCCAGTGAGTTCATTTCCGCAATGGACTTCGCCCCAGCTTCTGGTGCTAAGCAATTAATCAAAATGGGAAGGGGGCTTACTCCAGAAAGAGGTGCTTTTATACTTGAGATCTCTCCCTCTTTCATTGTTTCACATCTCCCCCTGCTCTAGCTCCTCTGGCCATCAATCCACACATGAAACATTTCTTCAAAGAAATGTTTTGACTAAAATATTCAATAAAATTTCAACAGGAGGCATGGCCTTTTGCAAAGAATTATTTTCTCACTCTGCTAAGGCAGAACAACAGCAGTTTTGTTTCTAAATCTTGAAGGCAAGGGTTAGTCTTGAAACTCTCAGCTATTTTTGAATGTTGAAAGAGGTGATACAGTTTTGCCTTCTCAAATCTGGAAATAGTACAGTTGTTATTTGGATAAGACACCTGAGTTTAGCCAGAAACAGAAAAAAAGAACCTCAACAAGCATTAAAAGTTATGAACTCCCACAATTCCTCCCATTTTAGAGCCAGCAAAAAGGCGAAGCCACATAAATTGTATTGCCTCCACAGGCTAGTTTTAGTTACCGGATAAGGTCAGGTTACAGAGTTACCCTTACATAATTTTATGGAGGACAGTTTCTTAATAATAATATTGTGGCTTTCCTGGTTATTAGAGGGAATTAATGGGGGGATTTTGGCACCCATCTTGATGAAGGAGTTGTCGGATAGATTCTCCATATTAATGTTTGCTGCTAACAATTCTGATTGATTGTCCAGTTTTTACCTTCAGGGGTGTGAACAATATTCTTTTCACCATAACCATTAGAAGATATTTTCTTACAAATTAAAGTAGCTTTGTTGAAAACCTGGGATTTGGTTCTTAAGTGTGTGATGCTTCTGTTTGGACAGGATATCATGTTTTTATCTGTGTGACTCTATACCTGTGATGGATTAGTTCCATCAAAAATATACTTGAGGAAATACATTTTTCTAGTACCAAAAGGCATTGCGTCTCTTGCCCTCTACCTGGACAGGGTTTCTGGATCTGGATTTCATTTGATCAAGTATCAACAGTAGAAAGCAAATTTGGTGTATTGGCTAAGGCACCAGGCTAGAAACTACAAGACCATGAGTTCTAGTGCCAATTTTAATACAAAGCCAGCTAAGTGGCCTTAGGTCAATTGTTCTCTCTCCCCCACCCTCTTCCCCCCTACCCCAGGAAGCAGGTGGACAGGCAGATACCACTGGGGAGAAGTGGTCCTACAAATAACCAACTCATGTGCCATGTAAGACTTTGTAAGTGATAACCAGCACTTTGAATTGCACCTGGAAGTCTATAGGGAACCAGTGTAGCTAAAGAAGTAGTAACGGGCACAAATCCAAAGACTACAAAGACAATGATTTAATATAGTTTAGGTTTGTTTTTTTCATCCAATTAAGTTTTTTTTTAAAAAAATTCAAAAGCAACATTATAGATAATACACACATTATGAACCACTGACATACCAAGAATGTGGGCTTTAAAAGTATTAACTGGAGTTCTATTATTGTTTGATGAAAGCTGCCAAAAATCTTCTTATATAATTACAAATGACATAAGCACAAAGCAATGAATAGTACATGAAAAATCTGGCAAGGCTGAGAAAGCAGGTGTTTCCCATGGCTTTCTAAGGGCATGCTACACCTGAGGAACCTATCAGCAGTTTCTACAGACCAGGAAACATACGCAGCAATGAGGGACCTGCAGGTATAAAATAAAGAAGAAAATGTGACCTGCAGCCAACTGTGCTGATATGCAATATAGTTGTCTTAAATCTTGAAATTGCTTTGAATGAAATGAGCTGAGCTACTGATTTATGTGCTTCTGGCTACTAAGGGGTAAAGATGCTGCTAATTTCCAATGCTTCTGTTTTGTGCTTCAGATTCTGAATACATTTCACTTGTTTCATTTCTATATATCTGAACAAAAGTTAAGAGAAATTAAATTTATAGATTACATGTCATCTTAAATAACTAATCATTCATTCACAGAATCATGTACTTTAAAAGTTGAAAAGGACTTTGGATCCTATATATTCATCATATATCATCTGATCATATATTTCAATCTCTTGACCAGTGCACGTTATGACTGCAGCATCTCTCATATATAGTAATCAAACTTCTGTTTAAACAAGGAAGGAAAAGTCATAATTTCCCAATGCAGTCTGTTCAATTGTTGAACAGGTTTTACTCTTGGGAATTTTTCTTGATGACCAACTAAAATTTACATCTTTGTAATTAGAATTCATTGTTTCTTGTCTCTTGTTTCTTTGTCTTGCTTTAGATCCAGTGTCGTTGGGCCAGCCATTCTTTTTCAGCACTTGGAAAGAGGCAATGGCAAATCATGTCTGGAAAAACATCAAAGATTTGTTCAGAGAGTTCTCAGGATTCAACATTGACTTAAAGGCACATACACCCCACACAAAAATCAGTTTCCACAAAAATTTGGAAAAATGGTTATTTAGAGATGATTTTCATTCTTCTTTTTTTTCTTCTACAGAAAAATAATAGCAATTCTAAATCTATTGCAAACGTCAGATGAATAGAATATATGCTTTGTTGTTTCTCAGGTCCAGGGTAATTTCACAAGTATTCCTTCATAAGTTTATTCACTATTAACAAAAAGGACATCCTAAATAATCATATATTATATTAAATTGTAAAGGAGATGTAAGCTATGTTTTAGAAATAGTATTAATTCAGTGACGTCTTACAGTGAAGGAGGGTCTAAAATTATAAAATAAAATCCTAAACAAAATGAGTATATTTTTCCAATGGTGGTAGTCATACTGAAATTCATTATCCTTATATTCTGATGAACTTCACAAAATGTTCAGGTTCTCAATTGATTTCAAAAACCTTTTTCTTCAGAAATTAATTAATGCAGCAGTCACCTGGGGGGAAAATCTCCTTTGAATCAAGCCATCCCTTTGAAGCTCCACATAGCCATATTTCATCTATACACACAGAATCTCTCCCCACCTTTCACTGCACTAAACTGGTTGGCCCACCGACCTAAAAATATTGCAGCCACTGCTGATTTTCTTAAGCATCTTGTTTCTATAAGTTCTGGAAACCACAATGTCTTCTAAGTACTGAAATATGTTTGTATCCCTATATAGGTGTTGATATTTTCCAAGAATATTGGACATATTAGTACTTAAGTTGTCCAAACACTGTATATAAATATTTTGGCAATGGTTTGTTATCAGAGCTTGCTGTTTAGCTCCCAGACATTTCGTTACCTCGCTAGGTAACTGAACATCTTCAGCCAGGTTTTGGGTGAAGTGTCTTGTTTGGATTCTTCTCTGTTTACATAGGTCCTGCATGGTGTTATGATCAGTTGGTTGTGTGACTGGTTGTTTGTGAGGTGTGAAATTCAGCTTGTGAGGGTTTGGTTGGTTCCAATGCTGATTGGTCATTTGGATAGTCCATTTTCTTATAGGTTCATATGCTGGTTCTAAATCAATGTGGATTGTTAGTGGATCCATTTGTGGATTGCCAGGGTTCTATGAATTTGTGTGCATGACAGGTTTTGGCATAGCTGATGACTTTGGCTTTGTCGAACCGGTGTTGTTCATTGTCAATGTAGTTGGAGATCAGGGACTTCTGGTCATGCCGCTTAACTGCCAGCTGGTGTTCATGAATTCTGTTTTTTAATTGTCGTCCTGTTTGTCGAACACAGAACTGGTTGCAATTGTTGCAATTGATTTTGTATATTACATTGGTGCTGTCTTCCTTCCGTGTTCTGTCTTTGATCCTTGTTAGTTCTTGTCTGAGTGTAACTATGGGTTTGTGAGCTATTGTTATTCCTAGGGGTTGCAGTTAGCCTGGCAACTACTTCTAATGTAAACAGCAAGCTCAGAGAACAAACCACTACCAAAATCCATAACCCAAAACTACGAATATTCTCTATTGTATATAAATATGATCATTTTGTCAGTAGTGGGTTATTAAAGGAACACAAACATATTGACATTTTCCAGTTCTTTATTAAAACTGATTCCAGGCTGTTGTTTCCTGTCCATTCTCAATAATCTAACTGAGAGGTGACTAAAGCCTGAGTGACAAAAACAAGGCCTCCTGATCTAGAAATGGGTACAACTGAACCCTTAGGATTGAAATAGTGTTACAGAGATGAAGAATGAAATAGGCATGGAATTTACAGTTATATTTTGGTGGTTCAAGAACTCTAAATGTAACCACTTCAGAAATATTCGTTTCAAAGTTATATAATCGACAGGAATGTTATTTATTTATGACTGACATTTCTCTACTGGGCCATTTCAAGTGGCTCTGTGGAAAGTACTACCCAATAAATAATAATACAAACCTGTAACACAGAAACCTGTGAGTAGTCTTTTTTTTTTTTTTTTTGCATTACCCTGGTTTCATGTTGCCTCCAATGGCTGGATTTATAGAGTTGCAGAGGGAATGATTTTGCTTTGCAGCAATGGAAAATCCTTCACAGGCATGCTTTCCTCTTACAGAGTCTATCCTTCCAATCTGAACACAGCATGAACACTGACCCATATTCTTCTTTTTAGACAGGCAATTTGCCAACAATTCTCTGGAAGCACCAAGTTTGAAAATCAAGCAGAACATACAATGTTTCCGCTCAGTCTCTTCCTGAGCTTCTTATGCCATCTTTTAATAGCAAATTAAACTTGGGTGTGGAAATACCACTTGGGCAAAGGGGAAAAAAAGAAAAATCCTACTGGCCAAGGAAAATTAAGGTAGATTCCTATTGTCCCAAATTGGGAGATTAAATGCTTGCCTATTTTTTTTTTAAAAAAACCCCAAAGACTTGTTATTGCAGCAATCTAGACTGCCTCCATTCTAAAATACTACACTAGATCTAAGGTAATGTGTATGCTTCGAAAATGTAGCAGGTAATATACTTTCTGGGGTTTTATAGGCATAATTAGGAATGAAAGTGCTTTGGGCAATCCATATTGTAACATGATCATGGCTCTGATTTGGAACCCATCCAATATTTGAAGGGAATAATCCACCAGGACCATATACATGTGCATTGTACACAGGCACACATGTACAAATATTCTGATTTTACTTATGCTGAACTCTACTGGGAAAGCACTTTAGACAGGCATCAATAAATCACTAAACTAAATTAAAGTCTTCCAATATTTAATAGAGTGTGATTTTTGTGCACAAGTGAATAAATTAATGAATAAGGACTAGCATAATTCATGCAAAAACTGAAATTGAGAAATACTCTATGAAGAAATAATTACTAAAATGTGGCCTTACTTGACAGAAATATGGAAGAATATAATATACATAATTTGAGCATTAGAAATGAAGTGTAAGGCAAATATGTATATAATTTACTCTGAGAGGGCAAATGTGTGTTCATTAAATTCACACCAATGCACCTTATATACACCTTAGGTAGTGAAGCTAATTTACAAAGATAATCTATGAGGCTCCAGGTCAATGAAGCTGGTGAGTTTCCTAGATGTTGTTTCTACTAGCCAAGCAAAGGGGAGAATCCTAGAGGCATCTGCTGTCTCTTAAGAGGGGCTTCAAAGGAGTGGTGTGCATGTAAAGTTCTGGTGGACTTCAAAGGTATCATCCACCTACAATCTTCACAGCCATATGAATGAAAGTAGCCAAAATGATGCTTCCTTGCCTTTTAGCCATGGAATTGAGGGAAGGAGGAGAAATAAATTTCCCTACTTTCCAGCCATTGGTAACAGACATTCAATTTGCTCATACCAGGAAGAAGGAATCGTCCTTTGGTTAGAGCCAGGCTGCTTTGTATCATTCCCCAGAAGTGAATTAAGCGTATTTGGAGAACAATGTAACTTTCTCCATCTCTCATTACACCCACAATCAATTCTCAACCCACACAAGCAAAGTCATTTTGCACAAAATAAAAGTAAAGATTCTTTAAGCCCAACTTGACACCATGCTGGCCATGATGACTATATCAACAGGTTTATGTAATTTTCTTGGCAACAGCTCTGTAGAGTTATGGTTTTCTACTGCTTTCTTCTTCCATGTTTTTTTCCCCCAATTTCCCAGACTAATCTGCAGTGGTGTTAGGTCTGTCCTGTCTTTTAAGATCAGCTAAAGTTGGTTAGGTGCTACCACCTGATCATGGGTTTCATTGATCCATTTCTATGTGTTTCTTTTCTGGGCTATCCATTTTCTGAGCTTTCTGGATATTCTCCAAACATGAGTCCTAATTCAATCTATAGGATTGAGCTATTGGTTATAAGTGGCTTAAAAAGAACATAGATAATTGGTTTTATGTGCTCTTAATCAGCCCTTAAAATGAATATGAATTAGAATTTGTTCTGTGATAAAATCCTCAACCATAACATAAGTAAGAATAAGCACAGGCCATAAATATAACTAGCTTCTTTATGAAACGCATTTGGCGAGACGTATTTCACTGGAAGCAGTGAATGCAATTTTGCCCATATGGTTCTGAAATCAAAATTATCTCCTTGTTTGTATGACTTACTGCCTGCTCCAAATCAATTTAAACTTAAACCAATAAGCATAAGTAAGTGATAGCTGTACTGAATAAATAGAGAGGTAGCAAACCCTCTAATTCAAAAGTGTTTAGTTTTGGAGCACAAGAAGTTAAACACTTTCTTGCAACACATTGTAAACATGTCAGTGTGTTTAACATTTTTAATGTGCTCTCTTCCCCTGCCCATATGCATAAAAAATGAAACAGGTTAGGTTGTTTAACTAGCAAATGGATGGATGTGCTCATTCCTAGTAACAGATTTTAAACACTTTGGGGTGTATAAAATTATGATGAGCTTAGAATCTGACCGTATCAGCTTTTCTTTGCTCTTAATCCAATGAATGATTGATGCATTCATTCTGATCACTATAATTTGGATTGATTCAGAATAGTTTCTGAGAATATTTATTCAAAGATTAGTTTTAGAGAGGAAACGACCCAAAACATGCAAAAGTAACAGTACAGGATGTTGTCCAAGAGGACCTGGTGCAGTCTTTTGTGGAAGTGAAATAACCCTAGGTCAGGCTGGATGTGAGCTCAGTATGAGAGATCGTTTCCTTCATCATCTGTATCACCACAACCACCTTCCTAAAAAAAAGGAAGATGAGATGAGATAGAAGGCGATGAGATGATGGGTTGGTCATAACTGGGGATCAGATTGCATTTCTTTATTCTACCTGTCTCATTGAATCTTTCCATTCAGAACATTTTTCAGATAACTTTCATTATTGTAGGGAGCCAAGATGCTCCCTACAATAATGAAACTTATCTGGAACTTCAAAGTGTCTACCTCCCTAATGCCTGACTGCCTAAACAAGCAAGCTAGTCTATTATGCTTCTACCTTGAACAAATGAGGCATTAAATCTAGGAAAGAAGAAAAAGCCTTGAGAAAGAAGCTAAGACTGACTCCCTCTCTTAATTCACTTGAGGGAGAAGAAAACTCAGGCTTTTAAGGTTTTGTTAACCTATAACCTATATCAATAAAGTACAGTTATAATCAGACTTATGGAGTCTGTTTCCT